TCCAGTCTTGCAGAGCAAGATCAGGGGTCAAATCATGCTAGCTGACCAAAGCCACCCCACATCAAGGTCAAGGTCGACAGGAGCAGAAGCTGTGCTAGTGAGAGTGAGTACCACTAGTAACTAACTTTTTTCTTCGAAGCTTCAGAAAGGATGGCCTCGCAAATCAACTTACTTGTCAGTAACTTAAAGATTTACTTTTTGTGTGTGTAAAAAATGAACTGTGTATCGCTTTGCTTAGACAGACTGATAGTCCCTAGTGTGCTTCGTAACCAAGTGCTACACTTGCTTCACGAGGGTCATCAAATAATTGTTAACTAAAGCCTTGTCATCTCAAACTGTTTTCTGCCTGGTAACACTCGAGACATCGAGTTATTTATTCAGACCAATAATGTTTGTACCATGTTAGCAAAGTCACTCAAGAAGCAACCTCTAATTAGCTTATCAGTTCCTGACCTTCCTTATGAGAGTCACAGCAGATATTCCAGAAATAACTTGCATTACCTGTTGTTGTGCATTTGTTTCATAAGTGGATTGATACTGTACTCATGCCTAAGATGTCCTATCTAATTTGTTCTCTACTCTCATCAATACTTTCATTCTGACAATGTACCATCCATAGCCAAAACATTTCTCGAGCTCTCCAAATATTCTCATTTCAAATTTGTAGTGAGTAGTCGTTCGTAGTTCATACAACATTTAGTGACAAGTTGCGTGGAAACTCTGTGTTTATCCAGACTCGCTCAAATCCTGATGTCATTGTACCTGCAACTATAATTGTACGCCAGTGCTTCTGTTAACTACCTCGTCTAATGTTCAACGTGTTCCTATTATTCCTGCTCAGCCTGACCAACCGAACAATCATGTACCTGAAAATGCAACCAGAACAAGAACTCGTGTGATAAACAAACCGATCAGAGTCAACGATTTTGCTATTGCTAATTCTTAACTGTTATTGTTAATACTTTATTCTGTTAGTGTTAAACTTTCAAATTTTGTTATTTATTGTTATCTATTGTTATTTATTCTCCTTCAAAAGGGGGAAGGTGTTATGTATGCTGTACGTTAGCACACCTGTATTAACCCTAATGCAAGGCTGTGAACCATGTTTATAAATTGCAAGCAGAAAGACCAATAAACCACTTGATCTCAGTTGCTACTCAAACGTCTTGTCGTCCGTTCCAAGTCCGCTCAGTCCTCTAGTCACCACCAAGCCTTACCCGGTACATGACAGGTAGAAAGGTTACTGTTTGCCCTTAAAAACTGAACAAGTAAAATGAAAATAAACAACCCCCCGTAGGGTTAGGCACGCCCCGAATCTGCTGTTTTTACCACAGTTTCCATTGGTTTTATCAATGAAATCAGTGTTTTACCCTTACCTGATACACAAAACTAAGTTCAATATTAACATTGTTATAGCAATAGCCTTGCACCTTTCAGAACTTATCATTTATGAAATATAAGGCAGAACGTGCAATGTGCACATCTCGGAGGAATCACCCTATTACGCGGGGGACAGGGGATGGCGGCGAGGCGGGGCAGCGTCTACTGCGCATGCGGAGTTCGCAGGCTGAGACGGATCCAGCAGCCGTTCCGTAACCGCAGCTTACCCGAAAACTCCCCTATAGGGCAATTCTGGAGATATCGCGAAGCCTGTTACGCGAGACGTGGTCTGGTGTGCAACTACATTGTTTGAAGTTGTACTCTGATTCAGTTGCCGTGATAATTCAGACGGACTCCTGTTCTGAGTGAAGAACTACTCAAAAAATCCCAATCTTCTTGCGGAAGTACTTATGAGTTGATTTCTAGAAGTGGAACAAACATGCACACATTTATAAATTCGTTCAAGCCATTATACTACCCACTAAATACATACAATATACACATTTGTGCTGACAGAGTAGGGCCCTAGGCGGAGACTAGGAGTTCTTCACCTGCTCGAATAAACTGACAATGCTCTGAAAAGAATGTCGTCTGAATATTCCATTCCTTCCCCGCAGAAGCGTTTCACGGTATTCTTCGGTTGCCTCGACTTCATTACGGAACCAAGAGAGATCATCACGAAGATTAAGTCACTTACATATTTACCTCAACCCAGATCGTTCGGAATGTGACCTAACGACCTTTTAATTTTGACGTGTGGGGAGTCGCTGATCGCTGGCTCGCCTCTTTGCTAATGAGCCTCTGACACGGACGGACTGAAGCCGATCCACCCCATAAGCCCGCAGAGTAGTCACTATCACCTACTTGTCTGGTCAGCTGCTTGGTAGTGTGCAGAGCGTGCGTATACTACAGTAGCTGAACGAAAAACGTTTTCACTCATATGACGTTATCTCCGAAATGGTAAGTTTCCTACAAGCCTGCTATAAAAGATCGGATAACGCGGAATGTTCGTTTCTCTAATACCAAGAGTAATGTACTCCTAGTGCTCGGAAAACTGTAGTCACAACACAACATGATGAAGCATTGCAGCCCCACCAGAATGGTTTACTGGCGTAGTAATAGTGATGAGAACTTTAACCAATTTTAGGAATACACAAGAGGGAGAGAAACGTGGGGATTAACTATGTTTGATAGGCTTAATTCGATACCTGATAGCGAGAACCCGATGCCCACAGCCAGGAGTCGGTTGTGACGGCCGAACACTTAGGTGAGTGCTTCACTGTTAAAAATTCTGTACCCAGAAACAGAATTTAAACAGATCGTCCTGTACTGCCATACTTCGGTCAAAATCTGTTCGACTGGTATTTGAGGAATGAAGACTTGTCATTGCTTGAAAAGAAATTTCCCCCAGATCAAAGTACAGTGCAGACTACAGGATAACACTGTTTTCAAAATTACCAGTTCATTATGTAGTTATTTACTGTTATTTTTAACAGTGTTCTAGCGATCAGGAGGGAGCTCTGTACCGTAAAAGAGTCTAATAGGATATTCCAATAGAGCGCGGAGCGGAAGCAAGAAGATCAAAAACGGAAGGTGGAAAGGCGCCCGCACTCCTCCCCGCCTGCCCCCCACTCCTCCCAATGGTACCTCACGGGTCAGACAGCGTGAGATAAGTACCCAGGCGTCATTTTCATCATTCCTACCGGTTTGTAGGCCTCCAAAACCCAAGAATCGATGCCCATCATGCCGAGAACGGTTAAAAGTCATTTAGGCCCTAAATTGACCAAAATGGCCCAAAATATGACCAAATATTGACCGGGAAGATTTTATTTTGCCATTTTTGAGTTCAGCGGGTCTGATTTAGTAGGAATCGACTCTTAGGTCGCGCCCATAGCTTTATTTTAACGTCTTTATTTCAATTTTAGGGGTAGTTTTTAACGCCACCCCCAAAAACCCACCCCCGCAGCATATTTCAGATAGGTACGGCGGGCCAAATCGACCATTTGGGTGTTAAGAACAAGTGTGCAAAGTGGCTTGCTGGTATCACAATTTGCAGGTTATTTTTGATATCGGCGTTGTGCCGCTAGTACTAAGAGGAGAGGGGGACGGCGCGGGCGCCTTTCCACGTTTCGTTTTTGTTCTTCTTGCTTCCGCTCCGCGCTCCACTGCAATACCCTTTTCCGGATCAGCAAGGTGAATCCGGACATTGCCTTTTTGAATTTATACAGCAAATTACACAAAGCAGGTTCATAATATAGGTATATGCTTATCCGGGAGACTGTGGGGTACTTCGCGGCTTGATGTGTGAGGACAAAACAGCTGGGGACAAAATAGCGTGGGGACAAATCAGTCGGGGACGAATAGTCATAGATCCCTTGAGCCCGCTTGTGGTTGAGCCCGAGGACTTGAGCCCGAACTGATTGCACAAGTTGTGTCCCTCGTCCAGCGGCTCGGGCTCATGTTTAGGGCAATCCGGGCTCATGTCTGGGACCTGAGCCCAGACTTAAGCCCGGCCTGTTTCAGTTTAAGAAGTACGCGTTTAAGAGCTGAATAGGCGTCCTGGCTCATTGTTTATTGCATTTCGGGCTCAAGTCCATGCTGAGCGTAAATCACTAGATGCAACTTTAACGTTGCGTTACTACCCCGGAGTCGAAAAATTTTAATGTATATATTATGTATATATTTTTATTAAAGTCCAACTCTTTGGGCAAAAATTTCGTCCGTTTTGCTCTATCTTGTACCGGGCATTTCTTTGCGAAAATGAGGTGAAGATGACATAATGGTCTATTAAATCGTCAAAAAGGCTTCATATTGAAAAATTGTAAAGGAAGTAATACTTAAACCACACATTTGGCGTGGAACCATACCCTCTTTTGGGCTCAAGGCACCCTGGATTAGCTACTATTATTAAAACGTTGATTCTTACATAACCATCTGTCAAATTAGAGCATTTAATGAACATTAGTATCAGAAGTTTCATGTACCTAATTTTGCAGTAGAAAGTCCCCAACAAAAGCTGTGAATGGAGGCCTCCAGGCCCTTTTCCCGAATACACTCCTATTAACTCGTGTCGGGTGTCAGCGCCGCAGGCCTAGCCATACGTGCGCCAGGCGTAACAGTGTTTCGTGAGATATCGCCGAGCCTGTCACGCGAGACGTGGTCTGGCGTACATATAGCTAGTTATTAAAAGACTTTCGTTAAAATCTTATTGAGTGTTGGTGATAAAAGACAGGATAAAAAATTACTGTGGATTTCCACTGAGGACCGGCTTTCATTTCAATGACAGAGGATATTTATAGACGTGAACATGTGAATGTGCATCTAGTGTTTACATGGTTGCCAACTGCTATCTCAACAGCTGGTATACTTTTAAACATTTTTGAGGGGTTTGCTGCAAAGCGAAGGATATGATAATATGAGTTGGCGTTTACGTTGCAGCTAATACGCTCTTAACGACAATGGACCAAACAATACATCTAGCTCCAAGTAATGACCTCTCTGTGTCATTACATGTCCTGCAATCGCTGGAAAGCATGCTTTGGACGGGGCCTTGGCATGTACTTAGAGAGAAACTATTTCTTGTAGGTGATATTTGCGCAGAGGTAAGGAACAAAAACGCACCAGTACC